CCCCAAAACCCCAAAACCCCAAAACCCCAAAACCCCTTATAATAATTTAACTATTGAATAATGTCTCGAAGCAACAAGCTTCCTCATATGCGTTTAGGAGCAGAGAATCACTGAGAGGGCTAAAATTATATATTTTAAGTAATAGAATTAAATTTTTCAAGCATCCACACATCTTTTATGCATATTACACTCGTTTTGGGTAAACTTTTGATTAATAAGGATTCTTGGCTCTAATATTTCGAAATAATGTACACATCTTCTCAGGTTCCTTTCTAGTTAATTTTTTGTGATCTGCCAAGATGGTTTCTAAGCTGAAAAAATTTGACAGCTTTCGAAAAAGATATCTAAAATCTCTAACATAGATAGCTTATTAAAAAATTCATCTGTTGAAAAAGAAGTTTATACTGAGCTGATTAAATCTATCAAAAAGTGAGCATTGTGCTTATTTTTATGAAGAAATCACTTTATTTAATAGTTTCCACTACCAAGATCTTGGAATATGCTCAAATAATTCTGGGAAATTAATGAGCCAGAAATTGAGAGATTTTCAAAATTTCTTGTATATGTGAGAAAGATCTATGGAGTCTTTCTAGATCTTGTCTAAACAAAAGAGAGCTAAATACTTCATGCTGACTTTAAGTGCCTCATTTGTTATAATCTGCGACAAAAAACAGGAAATTATTTGGAGAAATATTTCCGAAGAATCAAGTCCTAAAATTATATCGCTATAATGTGAGTTTACGGAATTTAGTTATATGAAACTTCCTCTTTGAATGGTATCACCCCGACTCTCAGTATAAAGAAATAAAATGAATCGTTTCAGAACCAGAGAGCCTTCTTCAGAAATTTCAGTAATACTAGCAAGAATCCATAAAACATGACTGTTTGAATGTGATAAATTTCAAGGATCCTTTAATAACAGACTCTAAAAAGGAGTTACTGGATTTTGAAATAAAAGTCTCACTAATGTCACTTGGAAGTATTAGTTCTCATCATATTGACAAATTAGTTCTTGGAAGTGAAACTTTTCTGCTTGAATACTTTCCCATGATTCTGCACAAAGTATATATTAACTCAGAGGAAAATATGCTAGTATAAATTTTGGATAATTTCATGCATCCGAAAAACGTACAGAGAGTAAAACGGAAGAAGAAATTATAGAATATCTGTTAGTATGTAGTAATGGGTGATAGAAGCTTCAGTTGTTAATATTTAAACTATTTTCCATCATTTTGAGTTCTATCTAAGCTCCATAAGCTCATAATGCGCAAGATCTCTACCTTTGTTATAAAATTGTGTAAAATTGGAGATTTTTGAAGCAGGAAATATTTGACTATTTTTAATAACCTCTCGCTTTCAAAAGAGGCGAAATTTAGAACTTTATGTTGACATCAAAACATGAGATACCAATGAGATCCTTCCACTCGGTCCACTAATGATTCCTAAAGTGTATACATCTGAAATCTCAGCCAGATTAATTGCTCAGGTTGGAGAAAATACACCATTATTCTACCAGTACAGAAAAGTATTCATAAAATCATCAGAAATATGGAAGAATAATCGGCCCTTGACCGAGCTTGGTCTCTGAATTTTCTAATGTTGTGTTTGGTCTCTCATTATTTGAAAATTTGCAAGAGATGTATATCAAGACACTTGCGATTCAAAAGGACGAAAGGTTTGTTGCTTGGAGTTTATTAATCTAAACTTCTTGATAAAACAAGCTGAAGCATTCCTGACGAAATTCTGGACAGCTCGCAAAATCCTGCTTCTAAGATCTCTAAAGTATGTGAAATAAGTAGCAGGCAGTTTTTTATGTTTTTAATAATATGTGACTTATTGGGGAACTTCAAATAATTTAAATAACAATATCAGCTCTTTCCTTTGGGTCTGCTAATGAGATTTTTATGTGAAATGATGCTTGAAAATAGAGCTGTAAGGCTCAGATCGTTTCTTATTTTGAACTAAATTTGGGTATTTTTATATAGAAATTTTACAGTCATACATACGAAAATTTTGTAGTGAGGTGTAAAAAGATTCTCACATTTTTAGCAACTCGTGCAGCTACCCTTTCCTGCTCTTTTTAGAAGCATATAGCATAACCAATAACTTAGACATACGCTTTTGAGATAAAATGATTAACGACTTAAGCCAAAAAAACCGAAAAATTAATCCCAATAACGTAGAACGGACGATCATGAAATTTCATAAAACTCCACAAGTGTTGAAAATTATGTATAAAACTATCTTAATTATTTTACAAATTTTATGAAGAGGAAATAGTTTTAGTATTTTTATGTAAAGCTCTTGATCCTTGGCAGCAGATTGGCTTCTGTTTCAATGTCTTGAAAACTATAAGGCATTAGATCCCCAAAAATATGATAAGCTTACCTTCTTAAATGGTCGAGTTTCCTGACAAGTCTGATGGGTGAGAAAAATCTGCCATTTTCAACCTTTGCCTTCTGAACTTTTCTGTTAATTTTTCTAATCATGTTCTGATGAAACATTGCCATCTTGTGGAGTTCCTTAACTTCAACAGTGGTTGTTGTGAAGTTCTCTGGCTCTGCGTTGATGTTCATGTTTAGTCTATTTAGTATATCAGAGATTAGAATATTAGTTTCAATCTATAGCAAAGCAAAGTTTACTGGTCAACAATAACTCATATAAGCTAAAAAGCAAGCTCAAAACAGCAGGAAGTCAAAATAGGCCTGAAAGAAAGCAAGGTTTTCCTCTTGAGTTTCTTCAGGTCTGTTTTAAATTTTATATAAAATTCTTCCATAAAATTTTTAATTAATACTAACAAGTAAAAATCTGGCCATCTAGCTCATTCAGGAGTTGAGAATAGCAAAAAGTAGTTCAATACCTTGAAGCTTTGTTTTTAGGTGAGAAAGCTCTCAGCTTTTCACTCATAGAAGGTTCCATTAACTGTATACTTCTCATCTGAGATGAAGATATCTTCTTTCTTTTCAAATTGCTGATTTCAAGCTTGCATTTTACCATGTCCAATTTAGCGCCAGTTATTTTTCTTTTTGGAGCTTTATAGGGAGTTTTAGTTTTGTTCTGGATCAGAGCTCTTTTAGCCTATATAATAAAATAAGTTAAAAACACTCAATAGAATAGATGCTTACCTTAATGCTACTAACAGGATTTCTAAAATTGCTGAGGATATCTATTCTGACCTTCTTGCTGATTTTATTCTTACTAAAAAGAATTATTAGATGCGTATGGTTTTATTAAATATGACTTCACCATACCTTTTCTGGATGAAACTAGCTACTTCCTTAATTTTCCTTTTGAGTGCTGCCTTATTTACATCTGCTACAAGTCTATTTGGTCTTGGTGAGAGTACCGAATTCATTTTACTAAATTCTTTAATTTAATTCAATAAGGCCTCAACAAGTAGGGGTTTTGGGGTTTTGGGGTTTTGGGGTTTTGGGGTTTTGGGG